GTGTGTGTGTGTGTGTGTGTGTGTGTGTGTGTGTGTGTGTGTGTGGTTATTTTCCCACCGGGGCTGTGTGGGGAGAATTTTTTTCTTCTACACTATTTCTATCACTTTGTTTTCCACTTCGTCATCCTCCCGTTGCAACACCGCAATTCTCCTAGTTGCTGTGGAGATACTAAGTGCTTTGCTAATAATGGAGGATTATTCCTTTAGGTGGAAGAATAGAGGCAAGAGGAGAATATAAATCTTTTTGTGCAAATGTTTCCCAGTAACAATAACTAGGTGGTACTAGAGACTGTGGTGCAGAAATGTCTGTATGGGGTTGGCTTATGCTTTTAGATGGTTCTCTTAGAGATTAATTCCCTAGTTTACTACTTTACAATTCATTCCTTAGTTTATATTCTTTGTCTAGTAGGACGTTGTCCCATATAGACCAAATTTTTTGTGGACGTCATCTTTTAAAATTTATTTCTTAAAACCTTTTGTTAAATAAAAAAACCTTTAAAAAAACTTTACTAAAGGATACACATTTTAATATTGTTCACCTGATTTTTATTTCATGAGATCTTACAGTTTTCCGTGGACTTTTTTTTTTTAAGATTTATTTATTTTAGGGGCACCTGGGTGGCTCAGTCGGTTAGGCGTCTGCCTTCGGCTCAGGTCATGATCTCAGGGTCCTAGGGTGGAGTCCCTCATTGGGCTCCCTGCTGAGCAGCAAGCCTGCTTCTCCCTCTGCCCCTTCCCCCTGCTCATGCTCTTGCTTGCTCACTCTCAAATGAATAAATAAGAAATCTTTAAAAAAGATTTATTTACTTGAGAGAGAGAACGCGTGCAAGTGTGGGGAGGGGCAGAAGGAGAGGGAGAGAGAAACTTTTAGCAGACTCCTTGCTGAGCTGAGCTCAGAGCCTGATGCGGGCTTGATCTGACAACCCGGAGATCAGGACCTGAGCAGAAACCAAGAGTTGGTTGCTTAACCAGCTGTGCCATCCAGGGGCCCCTCCATTGACTTTATTGTAATTAAAGTGATCCTGTGTCCTGATTTGCCCTGGACAGCCCCAATGTATAACTGTTGTCCTGGTGTAATTACTAGTAAGGCTATCTTGCACCCTCAGAACTGGTCTGGTTAGGATGTTAAATTATATGGTCACCCTAATTAAAGACCACATTTATTTTTTAATTTTTTTTATTTTAAAAGATTTATTTATTTGAGAGAGAGAGCGGGGGGTGGGGCAAAGGAAGAGGAAGAGGACGAGAATCCTCAAGCAGACTCCTCACTGAGCTCAGAGCCTGACTCAGGGCTCAATTTCAGGACCCTGATATCATGACATGAGCTGAAACCGAGAGCCCGATGCTTAACTGACTGAGCCACCCAGGTGCCCCTAAAGGCCACATTTAATAGAAAACTAAGGGAATGAAGTATTTTATATATTTTTGTTTTAATCCAGATAACATATATGTACGTATTTTTAGATATAGATGGATATACATATGTGGATTATATACACCCGTGTACACACACACACACACACACCACACACACACACACACACACACACGTATATATATTGTTTTCTTTTATTTCCTCCAACTAATGGTTTGGAACTTGCCAAATGTCTTGATGCTAAAAAAAATTTAAAAAAAAGTCTTGATGCTATAGAAAGACACATATATACTTATACATATAAACATACACACACACATATGTATATGAATTTCTCATCTTCATGATTCCATTATGTTATATTTTCACTGAAATTCATTTTACTGTAATAATGCCTGACTTGGCTCCTCCTAAATGGACAGGAGCTATGTTCAGGGATTAATGTCCAAACAGCTGTTCTGATTTGAAATGACTTCTCATATCTCGTTTGATTTCCCTCTGTCCAATACAAATGCTCACCTGCTCGCCTGTTCACATTAGATTTTTTTCCCCTGCATGTGGTAGAATTGGGTGTATATCCTAGACTATTCTGTTGTCTAGTGGCTCAGTTATTGATACACCCAAGGATAGGACAACAGCCCCTAGAATAAGAAAAGAAAGGTCTTTTAAAATCTTGGATATCTTGAAGAGTAAAAAGTACCATTTTGATATTCAAACTTTCATTTAAAAATATGCACACTCCTTCCCTAACATATCTTGAAGAGTAAAAAGTACCATTTTGATATTCAAACTTTCATTTAAAAATATGCACACTCCTTCCCTAACCTATCCCCCCTTAGTGTCAAGTTTATTATTGTAAAATCTCTGGAAGTTGTATTAAAATTTTTATAATTGATCAAAGATCCTTGGGAAAATTTCTGGGAGTTTATGTTCTGGGGCCAAGGGGATCTTGAAGTGGCTTGAAAAGAAAGTGTTAGTGAATTGCTCTCAGCGTTAATCTCTAAAGAAGGGTGCTGGCATGTCCTTCAGTATGTCAGGGGAATACAAGTTGGTTGAAGGGGGGGTGGGCTTGGCAAGAAGCAGAGAGTGCCATTTTGTGCCAGGCTGGGTGTGCTGTTGTAAACAGACAGACAAGGTCCCTTCCCTCTTGGAGCCTACCACCTAGTGTGGGAGCCATCCAATTAAAACAAGGAAACAAGTATATAATCACCAGTTGTGAAAGTGGATCAGTAGTGCTGAGAGAGAACAAGAGGGGAGACCTTCTCTAGGTCAGGAAAGCACCCCTTGAGGAAGGAAGATTCAAGTTGAGAAGCGAAGGCTGAGGAGATGCTAGTCGTTTGTAGTTGTTAGTGAGGGCAACCTATGATGGTGTTGCTCTATCAAGGTGGGACTCGGGTTAAATAATTTGTTCTGGATCATTTAGTCAGTTGTAGCAAATAAGGTGCCCTCTGGGTTCCTCTGTCAGTGTTTCTCAACCTCCCTCCTTTTTTTTTTTTTCATTATTGGCTTTTTTAAATAGTTTTTTCCTAACTATTCTCTTCCCCCTGTGAAATTTTAATGCCCTTTGGAGGATCACAAACCATTTCTTCCACCCTTAGAGCACCAATTTTCACCAATGAGAATGCACACTCTATGAGTTATTGTCTGTGGGGTGCATTTTAGGGCAGTCAGAAATAGGCTTTCATTGAGTTAACATAGTATCCTTGGATCTCCATCTGGATTTGAAGTTTCTTGAGGCAGAGACCGTCTTCAGTAGGGACAACAGTAATAATGGGTGCCACTTACCGTGACTTTTTTTTTTTTAATCTTTCATGAGTTTGGGAAGAGTAAAATAAAAGCATCTGAAGCAGAGTATGAAAAACCCTAAATGGTCTACTTCATCTAATTTTCTATTTAGATGAAGAAACAAAGATTACTAGGAAGGCTGGGATTAATCAGTCTTTTTAATCCACTTTGGTGCCATTTCCAGGACACTCTTGGTAAGGAGCAGATTCAGGAAGATGGTGATCATCAGGAGAAGTCCAAGTTTTATTAAATTAACAGCCTGAAGATTTGCATGTGCGCAAAGTTGCAGTCGCACCTAGGGAGATTAAGTTGGCAGATTCTTCAGATACTTTTCTAAAACACGATAAAGATCATGAGAAGGGTGCTGTGTAGAGGGATGAAAAGGAAAATTTGGTTAGTGATCACTTCTGTGTTTCCAAGGCAGCATATCTGTCGAAAAGGCAGCTCTACAAGAACTTAAGAGAAAAGTGAACTAAAGATATAGGATACCAGTAAGCTTTTTAAGAGAAGGAAATTAAGGGGGTGATGTAACTATTCTTTACCACTCAGATTCTTTT